TCCCTGTCTTCAGAGAGCACTTTTAATGGCGCCTCAGAGCAGAGCAAGTGATATCAGCAGAGGACTGCTCTCTGAAAAGGTTCTGTCAGGAAGACATTCTAGAAAAAGTGTGGGCAGGAGTGTATGGACCTGGGCATAGAGGGAGCTGGACGGGGACTTTGGGACGCCTTGGGTATCTCTATGAGACTAGAAAGGACGTGTTGCTGTCCATATTTTATTTATTGATTGGGCCAGGTTCGAGGGTATGCAGGCATTTGCGAGGGTAAGAAGATGCATTGACTTCATCCCCAGCTCCCACCAGAGCATGCGAGCACTCAGTGAGTTTCATTTGATTTGTTTCTGCTTCAGATGTGTGTGTCTGCGCGTGTGCAAGCACATGCCACGGTGCCCACATGGAGGTCAAGGACAACTTGCAAGAGTCAGTTCTCTCCTTGGGGTCCCAGGGACTGAACTCAGGCCATCAGACTGAGCAGTAAGCCCCTTCCCCACGGAGCCATCGCTATGGCCCTTGTTCAGTTTCTTTAATTGCACTCTGTGAGCCAGATGCTATTTTATAAGTCCACCCCTGAGTTTCCACTGAAACCGAGGAGTTGGGAAGATGAACTCGGGACAGCTGCTGTGGAGTCAGACCCAAAGTACTTCTGCAGACTGCTTTAGGCTGCCAGTAATTTTTATTTTATTTTCATTATGTGTGTGTGGTGGGAGGGTTGTGCATGTGAGCTCAGATGTCCTCAGAGGCCAGAGGCATGGGATCCTCTAGAGCTGTCTGTTTGCTGCTCACTGTGCATGCCGGGAACTAAACTTGGGTCTTCTGCAAGGGTGGCACAAGCTCTTAACTCCTGAGCCGTCTCTCCAGCCCCACCAGAATAACATTTTATTTTATTTTAAAAAACTTATTTATTTATTATGCATACAATGACTGCTAACATGTACACGCCAGAAGAGGACACCAGATCTCACTATAGATGGCTGTGAGCCACCATGTGGTTGCTGGAAATTGAACTCAGGACCTTTGGAAGAGCAGGCAATGCTCTTAACCGCTGAGCCATCTCTTCAGCCCAAAGAATAACATTTTAAAACACATTTTATGGTTGGCTTTAATTTAAGGACATAGAAACTCCAGCATGGGTAGAACCTTCTTTCTCCACCTGAATTTCAAAGAACTTAAAGCAATTTTGTGGAGCTAAAGCCGTAATTTTAGAGAACTTTACGTGGACCTCAGTATCCAGAGCGCTGGTAGCTCGGTGGGCAGAGTGCTTGCCTAGCGTGCACAAGCGCTGGGTTCATCCCCAGCACCATATAAATCAGACGGATAGATGCTTGTCCCAGCACTTGGGAGATGGAGGCAGGAAGATCAGGTCCAAAGTCAAGCTTAGCTACAGTGGTCATTCAGGGCCAGTCTGGATCACAGGAGACTCTCAGAAAAGAGAAGTAAGCAAGGTTCCCTTGAATGGTGCTGTCAGGGATGAGGATATATGAAGGTTTTACTGGCACAGAGCCAGCCAAGCCTGGCCCCTCTCCATCTCTCGTCTCAGCATCAGATCTTAAACACACAGCAGAGATGTGGATGGAAAGATCTCTAAAGTCAGTCCACGAAACCTGTGACAGCCAGGCCCGGTGACACAGCATTGCCATCCCAGCTGCTCAGGGACTGAGGCAGGAGGATTGCTAGTTTAAATAATGCCTGACACACAGAAAGCGGTTCAACAAGCCTGGAAAAGTTTTGATATCCTGTTTCAAACAGTAGGGAAAAAGGGAGGGGGCATCAAGAAGGCTCCAGGGTCACGGGGCTCGCTATGCAGGCCTGTGGCTGTGGTTGGTCCCAGGGCTCCTGTGTTGGAAGGAGAGAGCTGGTCCCAGCAAGTCATAGTCTGACCTGTGGGCTGTGGCACACCTTCTCCCGCTGTCATTTATGTGAGAGAGAGGGGAAGGGGAGAAAGAGACAGAGACACGGGGGAGTAGTGATGAGTCCAAAGAGTGCTGTGGGTGTAGCTCACTGGCAGAAACCCTGGACCTGGGCCTGAGGCAGGGACTCTTCTGAGGAACCCGGGGATGTGGGGAGGGGCGATGAGTGAGTAAAGGTGTTTACCCAACAAAACCAACAACCTGAGTTGGATCTCCAGAACCCATGTAAAGCTGGAAGGTGAGAACTAACCCCAGAAAGGTGTGCTCTGACCTACACACATGCTTCAAACGTATGCAATAACAAGGAAGTTATAAAAAGAAAGCACCATCCCAGGCCATCCCACCAGCCTATCACAGGGGTGGGCTTGCTGGGGAGAAGCACTAATTTTCTAAGGCAACTTTTGACACACAAAGATGACATCACAAGGTCTGGAGAGATGTCTCAGAAGTTAAGAGTTCAGTTCCCAACACCCACATCAGGGCATCTCACAACTTCCTGTAACTCCAGGTCCAGGGGATCCAACGCCCTATTCTGGCCTTAAAAGGTAGTACACACACATATATACATATACACATACACACATACCCAAACACACACGACAGTAAAAACAAATTAAATCCTATTCAAAAGCAACCTGCAAGAGATTCCAGACCCTGGTGGGGTGCACTTTCCTAGATTAGCAGTGGGGCCACCCAAACATTCCAGGAGACAACAGGAAGTCATTGAGACATCCCCAGCTGTTCTTCACAGGCAGGGACCCAACATCTGGAAGCCAGCAGTCCTGAATTCAACTATTGTTCTCAAGTCCAAACTCTCAGAGGTAAACCAGAGCCCACCTGCATACTCCTTTCTCAAGACTGAGCCTGGACCACTGTCTGTGACCCTACATTCATCAGCTGGGAGTACCCAGGACAGATCCAGGTGAGTCCTCCAGGGAAGGGAGCTGGGATTGAGGACATGGATGGGGAGGCAGTGTCTGTCCTGCAACAGGAAGGATTTTTATGTATCACGTCTTATTTAAAGTCACAGCAAACATGGAGGTCAGAGGAAAACTTTGGGAGTCGGTTCTGAGGATCTAACTCAGACCCTCAGGCTTGGAGGTGATGCCCTTTACTTCATGAACAATCTCCCCACGGAGAGAAACATTAAACAGAGAGGCTAAAAGCGGTGTTATTGAGGCAGGAGAGCAAGGGTACACCTGCGGAAGTGGGCTCGACTTAGTTCAAGGATCAAACTCAGGTCTTCAGTCTTGGTGGCAAGCACCTTTACCCACTGAGCCATCTTGCCAGCCTGCACCCACCTTAAAAATGTCAGTGGTGCCAGGTTCAGAAATGCCCCAACCCAAACCAACACATCCTTATTGCGGTTACTTGCTGTGAAGAAAGTCCTTGGTCTTTTTATGGTCTGGGGATGGAATCCCGGGCTTCCAGCACGGTAAGCAAGCCCTCATCTACTGAGCTGCATCCTACCAACTATTTGAATGTTTACATTTCTTTTACGATATAAATAATACTTCAGAACTTGATTCAAGAGTGTAAACTCCTTCTCCAAGTATGGTGGGTCATATCTTAACCCCAGCATCCTGAAAGACTGAGGAATGAGTCAAGGTTAACCGGGAGGCACAGCAAGACATAGGGAGGGCAGTTATTGGATCCTCAGTGTTGGTGAGGAAGGGACTTTTCACCATCATCTAACTTGGGGTAAACTGAATCCTAGGGAGTACACAACCTGCTCAGATCCCAAGAGAGATGGGCTAGCACCAGCTAAGCCCAGGGCCTTCTCTCAGCTGAGCTCACAGCTATAGGCAGAACCTCCTTATTGTTTTCCCACATCACTCACTGGCCTTCCAACCTCTCCTATGACACAATGTGTTGATTTATCCCTAGTCTCTGGTCCACAGTTTTCTCCTCAAAGCATACACACCATGGAAAGTGGAACTTCTTTTCCCTTTGGGGCTTAGAAACCCTCATCTTCCCCCATCTTCCTGGCCCAGAACTGGCTGTGAGGACCCTTGATCCACTTTGTGAGTACTGTGTACAGTGAGACCAGGAGCTCTGCACCTCCCAGTGCAGACAGACAGAACCACAGGGTGTGGGAACCGTGGAGCCCAGCCAGAGTATGGGGAAGACACTGGGTCTGGTAGCTGGCCACAAAGCGGCAGTCTTGAGTACCATGATTGACAGCTGAAGTGGGTGCTGTGGGCTCAGGGACTTGTGACTGACGGTTGAAGAGGATGGGCAGGCTTAGGTGCTTGTGATGGACACTGGCAGTGCATGCAGGATGGACAGAGGAATTGACCATGTGGGAACTTGCAATGGGCAGTGGACTGGGACAAGGGAGTGCTCACAGAGATCCATCTGCCTCTCTCTCTCAAATCCTGAGATTAAAGGTGTGTGCCACCACTGCCTGGCCTCTGGTGGCTTAGCTTTGCCCTCTGATCTTTAGGCAAGCTTTATTTATTAAAACATAAATAAAATATCACACAACACACTAAGAGATATTTCTGCCGTTATTCTTAAGCATGAAGATTAAGAAAAAAGCAGGAACCTCTCAGAACAGAAATGAGGTGTCACACCCGAGTGTGGGGAAGGACTCATGGGAGTCTCAGTTAAGCTCCCAGCATTGGCTGTGTAAGCCAGTTTGGAGGCTCTCAAACTATAACTCAGAGGGTTGCTATGAAACTTCCCCCCCACCACCACCACCACCATCTTGATAAGGGAGATGGCTCCAGGCCACCTTGGAGTGCACAAGGAAGTGAGGCTGTGTTTTAACTGTAGATGGAGCTCCTGGTGAGACTCCTGGGAAACTGAGGTTTCCTGCAGGCAAAGAAGCAGCTGATAACTGTGTCAAGGCTTCCAGCCAGACTTCTCAGTCAGACAGCCTCCCTCTTCACATCCCAGTAACTGCTCCTTCCTCTCCATCCTTCCTTAATATTGTACGTTGTCCAGAGATTGGATAAGACAGACACCACTGTGGAAGCTCAAGTTTTAATAATAATCCCAGGTTTTAGCTTATTTGATTCTTTTAATAGTTAATTGACAGATAAGGTTGTATATATTTAAGACATTCATCTTTCTGATTTACATATGGTCATGGTCATTAAAGCAGTGTAAATAACACACTGATCTCCTTCTAGGCTGTGCACCAGAGCCCAGAGGGGCTGAGAGAATCAGCTAGCCAGCATCTGCAGATTCAGGCCCCTGGTGACCTCTGTTCCATTTACTGCTCTGTTCTCATTGCTGGTTACTTGGTTGGTTGGACAGTAGGAAGGTCAGCCAGTTGGTTAGTTTGGGGGTGTTTTGTGGGTTTGGTTTTTGTTTTTAGGATTTGTTGACTTTATTTAATCTTATCATTTCATGTGTATGATTGTTTTGCCTGCATTTCTATCTGTGTGCCATGGTTGTGCCTGGTGCCCTCAGAGGCCAGAAGAGAGCACTGGATCTCCTGGAACTGAGGTTACAGATGGTTGTGAGTATCCTGTGGGTGCTGGGAATAAACCAGGACCTCTGCAAGAGCAGCCAGCGCTCTAACCATGTGACAACTTTCTATCTCCATGGAGGCTTAAGTGTTGTGGTTGGCTGGTTAGTAGTTGGTTGATCTGTTAGTTGGTCAGTAATTTGGTTGTGTGGCCATGCGTTTATACACTAAACATAACGCATCTGCCCTGAGCTAACTGTGGGCTGGGAGAGGACTCTGTTATAAAATGTTTGATATACAAACATGAGGACTGAATTCAGTCCCTGAAATACGCATCGTGAGAAAGAACTGACTCCTCCAAGTTGCTCTCTGGCTACCATGTCTGCATGTATGCAAAACCGGGGAGGAGGAGAGGGAGAGAGAGTGGGAGAAAGAGAAAAAGAAACAGACATGGCTGCAGAAGCTTATAATCCCACCTCTGCGGAGAAAAAAACCAGGCTGGTTCCCTGACTTGCTGACCAGCTACCTGCTTGGGGAGCTCCAAGCTGGGGAAAGACCTCATATCAAAAACCAAAATGGAGAATACAGCCCCTGAGAAACAACACCCAACAGTGACATCTAGCCTACACACACACAATATACACACATATACATACACACATGCATACACACACATACTCGCATACACACAACAGAAACTTAATAAGCAGGCTGATATTGTATCTCCTCTATCACTGGGAACACTTAGTCCAACCTGCAGACTCTCCGTCTCTCTTGAACCATCCCAAATATTCCATTTCCGGCTGTTATTGATTTTCAGATCTTCTCTCTGACAACGGTATGGAAATGAGCCTCTCTTCACGGTTCCAGACATGTCTTGATCTACCTATGTCATCTTGGGCAAGGTCTCCCTACTTCGAATCTTGACCTCTTCAAAATCCCACGCATGATTCAGCCCCAGGGGTCTGGTGAGCTGTGTCCTCTGATCTCCCACTGTGGAGCTGTCTTGTGCACTTTAGCTTAGTGACGGACTTCAGTTGTAAATATTGTTACGTTGTGCTTGCTTGAGAGGTACCGTGATGGTATCTTTCAGGTACCAGGGTGGAATTCTCTGTGTTCTGTCACAAGTGGATTCTAGGCAGGGGCTCCATCCCTGAGCCACACACCCAGCCCCTAACTTGAGCTGAACCTGAATTTATTCATAAATTTTCATCCCCTTCCTAGTGAGACTCCAGTGGGGGAGGGGGAGGGCCTCCACCGAACAGTTGCAGTATGATGTAAAATTATCCCACTGGGACCCTTTACCAAATCACCTGCACTTCCCTAGACAGTGATGCACTCTGGGAGGATGGGGGCATCAAATGTGTCAACAACCTCAGATTTTACACTCGTGGGGCTCTTCAGTCACACAGGACCTCATCTCATCCTCTTCTTCCTCGTGGCCACCATGTTCACCACAGGACTGCTAGGCAACACCATACTGATTTTCCTGATTGCCACAGACTCCAGACTCCACATACCCATGTACTTCCTGCTCAGCCAGCTCTCACTTCTGGATATTGGCTTCCCACTGGTCACCATCCCCAAGATGGTGGCTGACTTCCTGCAGGAAAGAAACGCCATAACCTTCGGGGGATGCGCCACCCAGATGTTCTTCCTCATGCTCATGGGTGTCTCTGAGGGCGTCCTTCTTTCCTTCATGTCTTATGACCGCTACGTGGCTGTGTGCCACCCCCTGCATTACCAGGTGCTCATGCGAGGCCAGGTGTGTCTGGTGATGGTGGGCGCATCCTGGTTCTCAGGTGTGCTTGTGGCCTCCACCCTGACCTCCATCACCCTGAGGTTCCCCTACTGTGCCTCACACACGGTGGATCACTTCTTCTGTGAGCTTCCAGCTCTCCTCAAGCTGTCATGCGCAGACACATCCGCCTATGAGTTGGCACTATCCATCTCCGGGGTGCTGATCTTACTGTTGCCCCTGTCTCTCGTCTTTACCTCCTACGGCCATGTTCTGGGGGCTGTGCTGCGCATGCACTCAGCCGAAGCTAGACACAAGGCTTTCACCACATGCTCGTCACACATGGCTGTAGTGGGTCTCTTTTACGGGGCAGCCGTGTTCATGTACATGGTCCCGGGCAGCTACCACAGCCCACAACAGGACAACATGGTATCCCTCTTCTACAGCCTCATCACACCCACCCTCAACCCCCTCATCTACAGCCTGAGGAACAGAGAAGTCCGAATGGCCTTCGTCAAGGCCATGGGCAGAGCAGACTTCAGGGTGAAGCAGTGACGTTCTGGGGTGCTGGTTTTCCCAGGAGTCCTTCTGTAAGGCTGGATACATGCGTGGTTTACTGCAACTGGCCAGCTGCCTCCTCCACGGTGCACTTCTCCCTTCTGTGTGAAAACTAGAAGTTACACTCCAGCTCGGGGTGCATGCCTGTCACCCCTGCATTCCGTACAGGGGCGCCAAGGCAGTAAGGGTGCCTCAAGTTTCTGCCAGCATGGGATACATAGCAAGAAGCTGCCTTAAAAAAAATACATTTATCCAGGCAGTGGGGGCACATACCTTTAATCCCAGCACTCAGAAAACAGAGGTAGGCGAACCTCTATGTGTTCAAGGCCAACTGGTCTACAGAGTGAGTTCCAGGACAGCCAGAAATCCTGAGACTGAGAAATCCTGCCTCAAAAAAAAATAATAATGCATTAATGGGAAGGCAGGTGAGTCATCCATTTAGCACCTGCTGGTCCTATAAGGACCTGTGTTGGGTTCCCAGCACTCATAGCTCACAGCTGTCTGTAACTCCCGCTCCAGGAGGTCCAATTCTCTCCTCCGACTTCCTTGGGCACCCACACACACATGGCATATACACACATAATAAATGTTTTGTAAATTATTTAAATAGGAGGGCAAGTGTTTTAGGCTGTACAGGTGAAACACCTGTCACCCCAGCACTGGAGAGGTGGAGGCAGGAGGATTGAGTTTTCACAGTCAGCCTGAAGAAATGGCTGCAGCCCTGAAGTACTTGCCACATAAGCAGAATGATGTGAGTTCAGATCCCCAGAGCCCACACAAATGCTGGGTGGTTGTGATAGCCCACCTCTAATCCAGCCTCCAAAGGCAGAGATGAGATTCCCCAGAGCAAGCTGGCTAGACAGACTAGCCACATCGGTGATCTAGAATAAGGTGGAGGAGTGGAAGAGGAATCCTAACATCACCCCAGGCCTCCACATGTGCACACACACATACATACATGCAAAGATGCATACACACATACATGCCACACATGAAAAATAATGGTAAATACAAATTAAAAAGCCGCTGGGCAGTGGTGGCGCACACCATTAATCCCAGCACTCGGGAGGCAGAGGCAGGCAGATCTCTGTGAGTTTGAGGCCAGCCTGGTCTACAAGGTCTAGTTCCAGGACAGGCTCCAAAGCTACAGAGAAACCAGGTCTCAAAAAACCAAACAAACAAACAAACGAAACAAAAAAAATAAATTAAAAAGCTGTCCAACGTCATTCTCTGGTACATATTGAGTTGAGGCAAACCTGGACTATTCCAGAAAAGAACCATTAACAGATGTGGCCCTTCAACCTTGTATTCACAGAACCACAGAGCAAAATAAACCTCTTTTCCTTATAACTTATCAGTCTACAGCACTGTGTTATAGCCACAGAAAGTGAACAGCGACAGCTCTAATAGTCAACCTGTCTCACCCATGACTAACATTTCTACAGTTGGGCAGGGATTGTTGTCTGGTGATTTCCTCCAAACTCCCAGAGGAAGGATGAAGGTTCGTATTATATATGAAGGAAATAAACAAAACTTACAAGTCTCAGGAAACTCATCAAATTTACAGGATTTGCAAGGCCCCTCCTCGAGGCTATGAAGCAGTAAGAACTTCTAGGGTGGGGACGATGAGATGGAGCTGTCTGCAAGTGGCACAGCTTTTGTGAGTCGACCACCATCCTGGGGTGAACTTTGGGAGCTCCCTTGAGTCACCATTCTTTCTAGGTGACCCCAATAAATGCATTGGTGCCCTGAACTAGATTGGGTAGAGTGATTTCTTTGGTCTGTGATCAGTGTCTGTCAAGAGGGAACAAACCTTTCTCTCTTCATTTCTCTCTAGGAAAGTCACAGGGTATGGTGCACATGCTTTGATCCCAGCAATCTCCAGAGAAAGAAGCAAGTGTGTACCTGTGAGTTCGAGGCCAGCCCTGTCTACTTAGTGAGTTCCAGGCCAGCGAGGTCTACACAGTGAAATCCTGTCACCAAGAAGGAGGAGGAGAAGGAAGAAAAAAGAGGAGATGGAAAAGAAAAAGAAGAAGCAGGAGGAGGGGGAGGAAAAGCAGGAGAAGGAAGAGAAGAAGAAGGAAAGAAGTCATCGCAGGCCAGGACTCCTGGATCCAACGTCTAAAATCCACAAAGAACAGCCAACAAGACTGTGAAACTTCCAGCCTCTGCTGACCTTGGCAGTAATTTTGCTTAGGTCAGATTTTACCTTAGTAAAAGACAGTCACTCAGGGTAACCCTCACTAACCAGGCCACATACGAATTACTCTGCTGTTTTGATAGTGATCGAGCTGAGTGGGGGAATGAGAACTCATCAGGGCTATCAGCTCTGTCACTAATTGATGCTGCCATTTGTTTCTTTGTTTGTTTTTCAAGTCAGGGTTTCTGTGTAGCCCTAGGTGTCCTGGAAACCACTCTGTAGGCCAGGCTGGCCTCTCCTTCCTGAGTGCTGGGATATAGACATGCGCCACCACTACCTAGTGATGCTGCCATTTTTAAGCTTCTGTTATCACTCACAGGAGACCCAAGGCTTAAGTAAGATTGCTCAACTCAGGATTTCAAGTGAAAGTGTCTGTACTGCTATTAGTGGCTTACAGAGGCTTGATTTGTGAGCCACAGCCCAGTCACTCACTGGGGGTTCTAGGCAGGGGCTCTACCCCTGAGCTATATTCCCACTTCTCCTGTTTCTTTTTCTTTTGGAACAAGGCCTATCCTTGAATTCACTCTGTTTTGTGATTCTTCTGCCTCAGCCTCCCAGAAAACTGTGATAACATGTCTGCATCACCATGCCTACAAAAGGTCAGAGTGTCTTGACCGTCAGTGGTGGAGTGTTTGTACACATTAGCAAATCTTAACAGTCAGACTAAATAGGTTTGTTTTTAAATTACTTATTTATTACTAGTAATGTATTTAGCTATTGTGCCTGTGGTCAGAGAACAACGTTCGGCAGTCAGGTGTTCTGCCATGTTGATCCCAGGGATCAAAATCAAGTCAGCCTTGATGGCCAGCCTCTGCCCAGCATGTCCCCTCACCAGCCCTAAATTTGTTCTTACGTCCTCAGTGTCCTCAAAGATGAGCATCCACAAGACACACGGTGTCCTGGTCACTTTGCTCAGCTTGACCCTAGCTAGAGTTATCTGAGAAGAGGGAACCACAGCTGAGAAAATGCCTCTGGATGAGCTTGTGGGCAAGCCTGAGGCACATTTTCTTGATTGATGTGTAGGGACAACGTCAGTCCTGGGCTGGTGGTCCTGAGTTCTATAAGAAAGCAGACTGAGCAAGCCATGGGGAACAAAGCAGTAAGCAGCACCCTCCATGGTCTCTGCTTCAGCTCCTGCCTCCAGATTCCTGCCTTGCTTGAGTGAGTTTCTGCCTTGGCTTCCTTCAATGGTCTGTGATTCAGGATGTGTAGTGATAAGAGCGGCGGGGCTGTGTCCCCGGCACCCGGCCGCCCACATGGCTATCTTATGCCCGAAATAATTACACGGAAACTGTATTCTTTTAAACACTGCCTGGCCTGTTATCTGTAGCCTCTTATTGGCTAGCTCTTACATATTAATCTAACCCATTTCTAATAATCTGTGTAGCCCACGAGGTGGCTTTCCAGAGAAGATCTTAACCTGCGTCTGTCTGGAGTGGAAGAATCATGGAGACTCCATGACTCAGCTTCTTTCTCCCAGCATCCTGTTCTGTTTACTCCACCCACCTAAGGGTGGGCCTATCAAATGGGCTAAGGCAGTTTCTTTATTAATAAGAAATCACTCCCACATCAAGGATGTGTAACCAAACAAATCCTGTCCTCACCAAGATCCTTTTGGTCATGGTGGGTTTTTTTCTTGGGGATGGAGGGTGTTCAAGGCAGTGTTTCTCTGTATAACAGCCCTAGCTGTCCTGGAACTAGCTCTGTAGACCAGGCTGGCCTCAAACTCACAGAGATCGACCTGCCTCTGCCTCCTGAGTGCTGGGATTAAAGGTGTGCACCACTACTGCCCAGCCTTTGTCATGGTGGAAAGCAAACTAAGTCCCAGCATCCTCATGGCAGCTCCCAGCTGCCTGTAACTCCACCTCGAGGAGATCTACACCCTCACACAGACTAAACATCAATGCACATAAAAATAAATTAATCATTTTAAAAGGGGGGGGCTGGAGAGATGGCTCAGAGGTTAAGAGTACTGGCTATTCTTCCAGAAATCCTGAGTTCAATTTCCAGCAATTACATAGTGGCTCACAACCATCTATAATGAGATCTGGTGCCCTCTTCTGACATGCAGGCAGAACACTATACACAATAAATAAATAAATAAATAAATAAATAAATAAATAAATAAATAAATAAATAAATCTTTTTAAAAGGAAAGCAAACTAGCACATAGCAACTAGATGGTCTCAACCAGACAGAAAAAGAGGACATTAACTCTGGACATTGAGACTGGAAGCGATGGTTCTCACCGTCTATCCAAGCCCTGAAGAAGCAGGAGGCAGGAGTACGGAGAGTCCTCAGCCATTCTGACCTGCATATCTAGACCCTATCTACAGGATAAAACCCAAAAGTATAATCAAGCAACACTGTCCCACGACCAAGGAACCTAAGGCAGAAGAATAGTCCTGCCCAGCCAACAGGGTTACTTAGTGAGATGTACACACTGACCGTCTGCCTTGAGCCACGACTCCGCAAAATCTCAACGAATGCGGAAGGAGTTGTAGCTGTGTGTGTGGTTCAGGAGAAAAGTGCTTGCCTGGCTTGTGATGGGTCCTGGGTTCATCCTCTACTCATGAAAAGGGGAGGAGGAGCTGGGAGAAGAGAGAGGAGAGAAGATGGAGGAAGGAGAGAGAACGGAAGAAGGAATGAAGGAGGGAGGGAGGGATGAGGGAAGGGAGGGAAGGGAGGGACCAGGAAGCAGGAGCTGTGGTTGAAGCATCTGTGCTCTGTACCGTGCTTCTCACTGTGGCCGCTAGGGGGCGCGGTGCCACTTCCAATCCGCACAGCCTCCTTGAAGCTCAGATCCAGAGTTGGGGTAATGCCTGAAGGTCCTGCAGAGTCCCCCAAAACGCTGGAGACCCAGGAGGAAAGGTTTAAAGCCACACAATTTAGCGTTTTACAACACCAAGGCATGCAGCTAAATAAAAATTTATGAAGGTACTGGAAGGCCATGTGACGGGGGCAGGCCTCTGGATCCCCTTGCTGGTGGACAAGTGTACAAA